AGGGGAGGAGCCCCTAAATGTGAGCCTGTAAATGCAAGTGCTGCTGGGCGCTGGGGTCTCAGACCTGATGAGAAGGGAAACAGGATCAAGGTGGGGAAGGGGACCTACCAGTAGGGCTCTTATCTGGGCTTCCTTTGGGGCAGGGAGACACACCTCCAACCAGAAGGTGTCCAGCTGGCTTCCTGAAAGAAAGAAGGGAGCACCTTGTACTGCTGATTGCAGGAGTGGTCATGCTCATTAGCTTCTGGTATGCTCGCCTCTAGAATTTTGCATTGTGCTAAAGGGAAATTCCTTCAGTTTTTTCAAGAGAACACATACAGGGCACCTGACCTCCATGCTGCTAACGCTGACACTGGCTGAAGATGGCACACACCACACTTCTGGGGCTGCTGTCAGGCCATGAGCCACACCCACACCTGCATTTGCCCTTTGTCTCAGAAGCACTCAGGAAAGCAGGGAGGTACAAGGAGATCTAGGGAAAGGGTAAGTAATAAAAATCCCTCATTTCCAGTTTCCAAGCCCATACACCCATTTGATTCTCACAATAGAAATGACAACAGAGACCCTCTAAGGGTCTAACTTTAAAGAAACTAAATATCTTGCACAAATAGTTTTCACACTTGGTAAGTAAAAGGACCAAATTTAAACCTAGGACTTTGACTTGGAGCAGGATTTCCCCCATGCTGTGATGCAGAAAGGGAGGGAGGGGAGAGGGAGGACGGAGGAACTGTGAAGGTTGAGGAAGAAGCAGGAGCTATAGGATGTTTGACTTTCCTTAGGTTTCATTCCTCTGAATTTCCTCCTACTTTAGAACTGCATGGAGTTGTGGTTGTGGACTGATGAATGAGCAGAGGTTTAATTCCTCCCCACTCAAGTGGCAGCCAGGTGATACGGTATCTTGAGGTCATACTATTCTCTTCATCAGGCAGCGATGTGCACATGAAGGACTAATGGAGTGGGTGGTTTTTCCTACCATTCCAACTCTCCATCTTTGCTGGATAATAAAGGAGAAGTTTGGAACATTTTGTAAGGATCAGATTTTGGCAATGCCACAGATATGTTCATAGTTTCTATATTTTAATAGTTTTTCTCTCATAATTTATACCAAAATAGTATAGGTGCAAAGTCCTTACTTAGCATTTGGACAGCTATCTTAAGTGACAGCCACCATTTTAAGAAAACTTTTGCTTTTCTCTCTCACCCGTCTCCCGGTTCCTTGCTTTCCTTTCAATAGCCACAAGTGTTAGCACCTAAGTTGCAGGTCATTGTACTTAGCATGTACTGGAAGAGAAATAGATAATAGCTTTGTTTCCTCTGTTATCTTTTCAAATGCTTATTGACTTCCAGAATGAAATATTTTATCACATTCCTCTTTTAAAGCAGCTGGTCTCAAACCAGTCTGGACATTTCAATCACCTGTGGGGCTTAGTTTTAAAAGTTTTCTTCCTCCTGCCACCGATCTCTCTGGGGGAGATTCCCACTTACTCTGTGAGTTGTGATTCCCCAGGTGATTCTCATGATCAGAGAGTGTTAGAAATAGCAAATTAGAGTACCCTATCCATAGCAGCCTATCTGTTCAAATGCATTAGAAATAAGCACTTTAAAGGATAATTAAGCCTTCATAATGGTTAAATAAAAAGATGAAATTGGATGCATGTGATTCAGAGGTATATATGTCATGAGGAAGAGAGGCCAATGTGAGCTGAGAAGTCACAATCTTGTAGTATGGTCAGGGTTAGGGTCGGTGTTGTGGACTAGAAAGTGCTATGAACATTCCCACATGAGTTTTGTGTCCCTTGAAAGCCTTTTCTTCCCCCCTGGAAGGGAAATGCAGCTTTTGAGACATGACTCTCTTGCTCTCTGCATTTGCTAGCAAATCAGCAAAACTTCTTTTTCCTTTTTTCAAAACTTTGTCCTCATTGTTTGTTTTGGTACCCAAGACAAAGAACAAGCTTTCAGTATCAGAGTGAATAGGAGATAAATAATCTTTTATACCCCAATTTCTCCTAATATCAAAAACAAGTATGTCTTTAAAACAAAGTCACCCATGATCGGGCTTTATGAAATCTTGAGCCTTGAAAACTTGAAGGTCAGATGATGTGTCAAACCCGTAAAGAAGAATGTACCCGTCCGTGTCACTCAAACTCCTCAGATGCAGACGAGGACATGGGAGGATGCAGTTGGGGTGCCTTTGGCAATAGACCTCCTGAGTCACTGGAGACGCTGGTGTCTGCAGTTCCTCCTCCTAAACTCCCATTGGAAGACCAGATCACTATCTCTGAGAAGAGGGCCTACCTTTGTTTCTAAAGGCTTTTCATATTATTTTTTTGCAGATGGTCCTATCATACTCCTCTTCCCAAAGATACTGAAAATTGTCTTCTCGTGACCTTATCCATCTGCCTGCACTTATCCAATGAGCTACACTTTAGAGACTACATTTACATATATATTTTCGTTTATTTCTGAATATAATCATCATAACAGCTTCTGCATCATTATTTCAATTTAGTATATAGAAAAGAAAATTGAAATAATCTTAGCATTTCCTGTTCACACATTGATTTGAAGGTCACTTTCCCTTGAATTACTACTCTCAAGCCATTGGAAATCCAAAGCCACCCTCCCATTCCAACAATGGCTTGGGGGCACCCCTGAGCAGGGGGCTAGGCACAGAGACCAGGCAGAGGACAGTGAACCCAACCTCAGTGCTCATGAGCCCAGGGTTCACTTGGGAGGAAAAGTCCTTAACTGCTAAATCGCAGAACAGGTCAGCTGATGTGGTGAAGCAGGAGATAGTTCAGATAACAAAACGTCCCAGATGTGCAGTGACGGAGAGAAAGAGAAGGGAGGGACTTGCTTACACCAGCACCAAACTCAAGTCCCTCTAGTTCTGCAAGAGACTGGGGTGAGCGGGCTTCATGCTACAAGTGGAGCCTGTGCTGGTCACTGCAGGACTTGGGGACTAGAATGACCCTGGAGAAGAGGCCTGAGGAGCCTGCAGTAGTGGAGGACACAACAGAAACTTCAGTTCCAACCCCCTGTGTGCAATTCTTCTCTGGCCGTGTGATAGTCTTCCACCTCTCACAGCCCAAATTCGCTTCACCATCTATGCTAATGCTGAGCGCTCTGGGGTCAAAGTGCACTTGGTTCTGCACAAACTCCCTGGCCACCACTTACTGGTGTTACAGTGCTTGTCACCTGACATTCGCATTACCCGTGAGCATGTGTGGAGACAGAGGATGCAGGACTCCAGTGTAAGGGAGGCCGCTCCAAGAGGAAGCACTGTACACAGGGTGGCTGGTGCTTCCACCTCGCTGACCTCTCCCTGATATTTCCATCTATTTCATCAGAATTCGGATAGAAGGTTGTACAATTATAGAACAATGCAAAAATATCAGATGCAAGACATCCAGAATTAACACAGAATCAAGTCTTAGTTTTAATTCAAGAGTTGGTTCCAACAACAATTACTTTTGTACCTTTTCACCAAAGATCAAATTTAACTAATTGTATTACCAGTGGAGAAAATCTTAGCTACATAGTCCAAGAGATTCATTTAATTTTTAGTAGATAAAAATAAATAAAGAAAAATAAATAAAAAATTTAGTAGATAACCTTATTTATTCTGTATTTCTGAAGAGTGAGATATTCTGATGATATAACTCCAATAATTGGAAATTTCATATATAAACAAAAACTTAGTTTTAAAATCAAAACATTTTCTTCAGAATATTATGTAGCATGTTTATCAATGCTCTTTCTGTAAATTTGAATAGCATTGCTAATAGCTTAAACCATTCTTCAGAGACGCAGCTAATCATACTTGTGGAACTCCATAATAACACAGCGTTGCTCCAAAGCCTCCTACATCATGTAGAACCATTTTCCTCTTCAGTGGACAAGCATCTATAAGTCCTTTTGTCTTTGTTTTGAAGAGTTTGCATTTTCTTTTTTAAATTTTTTTTTGAGTTTTCAATGGACCTTTATTTTATTTATTTGTATGTGGTGCTGAGAATTGAACCCAGCTCCTCATACATGCTAGGCAAGCGCTCTTCTAACCCCAGCCCCTTGCATTTTCTTTTTATGTGGTGTTGGGGATGGAACCCAGAGCCTGGCGCACACAAGGCAAGCATTCTACCACTCAGCCACACTCCAGCCTTTTTATTTTATTTTGAGTCAGCATCTCACTACTTTCCCAGCCTGATGGCCGACTCCTTCCTCGCCCCAGGAGTCTCTGGGATTACAGACCAAGCCTGGCTGTATTTTCTTTTAAAAAAATACTGTTACAAGGTATCAACTCTTGCTTTGTTGGTGTGCTTGCATATGTCAAGCCACAGCCATTCATCTTCCTCTTCTCCTGATAGGTAAACTGTGAAATCTAAGGAACAGCTGTTTGAACGTGATGGTTGATGTCAGATTAAGTAGGTAAAGAGTACTGCCCCGTGGGTTTTTATAATAGGGAAGTTGCGTATGAGTCAACAGGTGGATTCAAAGGCTCATACCTAGTCTCACTAGTTTTTCTAAAGGTTCTTCCCAGAGTTAGACAGGTAAGACTCCCAGGTGAGTGACTGTGTGATGAACACGGCCTCTCTATATTGTCCTTCTCTATTCATATACTCAAAAGGGGATGACCATGTGGGGGAAGCTCCACTAACTTGTCTATAAAGGCTAAATGCTCTATGGTAATCATCCTTCAAAACATGTGCCTACATCTCATGACAGGTCCAGGCAAGTGACACTGATGGATACAATTCTGTCCCTGTCGACCATCTTCCTGAGAAGGATAAAATACATGATCAATGGACTTCAAAAAGACTCCCGAGATGCCAGTGGCCCTGATCCTTTAAAAGCTCCTAGTATTGGAAGCTCTGTGCTTGGAAAAGAACTGACTCTGTTGCAAACAGGGGCGTGGCTGGGTCTTAACAGGTGGTGTTGTTGGGTGATAAGGAAAAGCCGGCCACACCCAACTGCAATGACATTATGACAAGCACTGAGCTGAAGACCTTGCTGCAAAGCTAGAAATGACTTCAATTACAACTACCCTTTCTGATTAAAAGGATGATGAGGGCCCATGAGCTCCTGTGAGCAGGGTTGATCATGGAAATGGCTGTGGCCACCTCAGTCCCAGTGGCCCCTAGGGCCCTGATTCTGGGCCACTTTAAATAGAGAAAGCACATGTTCCCTGCCAAGTCCTGAAAAATGAGGCGTGGGCCATGGGCGCTCAGCAAGGACGGGTCCCCTTTTTAACATGCTTAGAGAGTGGGCGGAAATTGGCTTTATGGTGTTATCCTGGAGAAATCTGATTTATTTTTTATCTTAATTGCTCTCACAACTCCACCTCTGGCACATTACCTGGTCACCTTCTCTGTCCTCTGAGGAGCGAGGGCGGGCAGCAGAGCTTGGAGTTTTGCCTGACAATGACATTTTAATGTCCAGGCAGTTTGTCATCTGCTAGAATCTCTCCCTGCACTCAGCCCATCTTTCTTTGCAGCTCCTCAGAGGTAAGACCAGAATCTTAAGTGCAGTTAAAGATAGATTCTGAATCAGTGGTCGTGTTGCGGGTGGGGTAGGCCGTGGAAAAGGTGAGGCATGGAGCACCGCAGGGCCCTACAGCGGACGGACGCTTGACCTCTACCCCACACTCCCTCTACCTTTCCTGCCCCGCAGGTTCTTCTGCCCTCCTCCAAGCTCTGTCCAACTCCTTCCCTGAATTGCACTCTCTCTCTCTGATAGAATAACTGCATGATCCCTGTTGTCCTGGCTATGCCTCCTCTGACAGAGACATAAGTGCCAGAGAGTTCTCCAGCAGGAAACCCTCAGCACCAGGGTGGCAAACTCTCCGGCCTGATGAAGTACCGCAGGTCCTCCTGGAAAGGGGCACTTCCCCATCCCTGGGTGCTGGTACAAAGGGACGGACCATTGTTTCCACCTAAAAGGATTTAGCTCTGTTGCTTCTCCTTTCTGGGCAGTTACTGACCTGGTGTGATGAATATTGGAGAAAAATAATAGAAGAACAACTGAATTTCCTAACGTACTTTCTTTTTTCTTAAAATAGCAAGCTCCCATGGATTGTTACCTTATGGACTAGCTGTCTGACTCACTCCTAAGTGATCTAATAAAAGCAGTGCCTTAAAATCATTGGAGCCAAGCATTCCTGCTCTGGAGAGATTGGGTAAGCAAAGACATTACTATTGATTTTCTTACATATCACTGCTTGCTGTGGTCTTCCACATCTCCCCTGGAAACACAGAGGCCTCCCTATTCCTAGACCTGAGAGAGCTTCCTCGCAGTGCTTACTGGTTCTCTGCTTTGTTTCAGCTCATCTGTATTTCAGTCTGTTTAGCAGCAGCTAACAAAGGGAAAGCCAGAATACAGAATCCTTTAAGTGACCGCAGATCCTAAAGGACTGTTGGTTTAAAGAAAGGAAATCCCCTTTGTTCCTACTCCACAGCATTGGACATTGAGTTGCTCTGTCAGACTCTCTATAGGCCTCACCCTAGCGGTCATCAGAGAGAAGTGAAGAAGAACACTGAGAGTTGGCCATGTTGGTACACAAAGAAGTCTGGAGAGGGCTCCTGATTCACAGCCCACGGTGAGATGAGCAGGTCAGGCCACAGCCTTGGCGTATGCACATGTGGTGATAATCAGCCCAATCGTTTTGCAGATGTAGAGATGAACACACTGGCCCAAGGTTCCACAGCTAGTTAGAAGCAGGGCTAGGGATGTGCGTGGGCACCAATGTGAGGAAGGTGCTACCCACTCACAGGTCATCACCCACATGAGTCTATTTTTTGTATTAGGACAAAAGGCAGCAAACATTTTTTGCAGGTGGTGCACCTTTCAGATTTGCAGCCATCCTGTTTCACTGCAGCTACTCACCTGGGCCACTGTGGCACCAGAGTGAGGATGGCCACAGCCAAGTGACACTCCTTTCCATACAAAGACAGGTCTGTAGAGCACCTTGGCTGCCCCGAGTCACAGCACAATAGCTCAGACATGAGCGATGCATCTTCAGCAGTTAACATCCTACATCTTCATGGTTAAAGAGTCTCAGGAGTGCCCTTCCTCAGATGAAGGGATGAAGAAAACATGGTTCATATACACAGTGGAATGTTGCTCGACATCAAGAAGAATGACTTAATGACATTTGCCAGTAAATGAATGGATCTGGAGAGTATCAAACTAATTGAAATAAGCCAATCCCAAAAAATCAAAGGTTGAATGTTCTCTCTGATATGTGGATGCTAACAACAGTGGGGTGGATGCTGATGAACACACAAAAAAAGTCTCAGAAGGTGATCCAGAGCTGAGGACAACTTGGCCTCTCAGTGATCAAGCAAGTCTTAACACAGTTTTCCTGACTCATTTTCCCAGATTCCTGCTCCCTCCCGACTTCTCAGATTTGGATTCCAACCAGAAAGAATGGGGAAAAGGAAGGAGAGGCCATGCCCAGTTTCTCTGAGCACTAAATCAGAACCTGCTCACAACACTTTCTCCCATCACCTGGTCACATCCAACTCCCCGACAAGTGTGGGGTAGAGTGCAGATTCTAGGTAGCAAAGACTCTTCCAGGTTCCACCCAGAGGAAGAAGGATGGGAGGATCATTATGGACAAAACCGTGATCACTCCTTTGGCAAAAATTACCTTTGCTAAGGAATTTCTTGAACTGTGTATTAAATAAAGCTGGTTTTATTTCAGTCATATGAAAGTCAATTTGCTAATACTTCTTTAAAAATAGCTGCTTCACTCTCCCCTCTTGAAAAGACAGTGTTCTCTCATAACAAAATTAATATAGGCTGTGTAGCCAAACAGATCTGATTTTGTTCCACTGTTCACTGAACATGTGGTCTAACTTCTAGTTTGCTTATGGACTTCAGTAGATCCAGACTAAAAGAGGAGATATACATAAAGGTGCTGCTCTATAAAAGGACATCAATAAATTAATAAATATTACTTCCTCTCCATTTTTATAATAAAATAGGGAATTAAGTAGCATTATTATGTGACTAAGTTTTATAATACAAATAAGTTAAGTATGATGTAATTCTCAAGCTATGCTTTTCTCCATGGTCTATGATTCTTTTTAAAGTTGGGTGGTGTCATCAATACATTCTCATTTCTTTGCATCCTCTTAGGAAGTCATTCCAACCCCCTGCACCACCATCTTGGATAACAGTACAGAGAAAACAAGATCTCCTGATGCTAGGAATGTGGTTGACCCATGGGGTCTTTTACTCACTGGCCAGGAATTGAGAACCCCAATCACACGCTTGGCATTTTGAGTTCATTTTAAGATGTGAGATTCCAATCCCTTATCAAGAAACATTTAAACCTTATTTTCAATAAATTGAGAAATAAGAAATAAGACTTTCTTAACTTATTTTTACATCTCGCTGCAGAGATTGTGACATCACAATTGTTGAAATTTGTATTTTTAAGATGAATCCAGGTCATTT